AATCCAAACTTTGTTTTGATAACATTACTCTCCTTCAATACCTGTTGACGTTCACTACAATCAATACTTCAGTCTCAATGAATGATTGTCACACAATTCACTAGCTTCAACATCATCTGATATTATAGGACTGATTTGTACTCCAATGTTCAAATGATTTGTATTCCAGTCCTTCGTGTTGTCACTGTTTTAATGTAGGTTTAGGTTATGTAAGTTTTTTTGGAATTTGAACGGAAAGATTGTCCCTAGAGTCCGAAGTTCTAGAAAGTCACTTTGACAATTGTTAAAGTAAATTCTGTGTGTACTGTGTTTCCAACTTGTCTGTTTTACTCTTGTCTGATTTATTCTGCCTTTCCATTTGATTTCAATATAAATGTGTACAAAGTTATACGCTTTTTTAATTACAATATGGTTCAATTACTTAAGCAGTTTCTTATGCGACAGTAGTTCTAGATCGTTCTGGTGCTTAATTGATCTTAAATCTCTCAGCGTATAAAGACAACATTGTAGTACTACATAATAATCGTTTATACACTGATCAATAACTGTTTACCTGCGAGTAAAACTAGCGTACTGAGATAATACCCGAGGGAGGGTCTAAAATGGTAGTTTGGAATTATATTAATTCTACATAACCGATTCATACGAAAATCTTCGGTTTCAAACAGATTAAACTAGTTACTAAATCACCTTTCTATCAACGTGGGAGTAAAATTCCAATCAATTTTGAAAATACAAACGTAAGATTTACTAAAATTTTAAATTTAATTCCAATCAAAATAAATTAAACAAATAAGTAGGAACTTTTTGCAAATAAACCGGTGTGTCCAGTATCATACTAATTTAATCGTTTGCGCAAATATAATTCATGTAATTATCAACAAAGCAGTGTGAGCCGGGTGAGTGCGCGCGCGCACGTGTCAACGGCCGCAGGTGCTCGCGTCATTGGCCAGCACTGGCCATTGTTCTCCCCCTTTCCCCACCAAACCACATATCAGGGATGTTACGAATATGTCATTTCGGATCTGGATTCAGATATAAAAATATTACATTCGGATTCAAATAAATGACAAGTTTCGGGATAATTTCGCGAATTGTCGATAAATTTTAGGTGAAATACAACAGCAGATAATCAAAATCCAGTAACACACGTCTCCTTGACGTTCCGTTTATATTCGAATCCTTATCGGATACGGTTCTAGTTACGGAACTCTATAACATCACTACCACACATAAAAGTACCCGACGAACAATCATTGCAAGCCAGCTGATCGATTCTTTATCTTTTTGCTCACTTCAACTGGTTGCTGGTAAAAAGTAAAATATCACAGGATATACAATTATACCACCTGGTGTCGTTTATTTGTTATATACTCCATACTTATAGCAATAAATCAGCCATGCCAAATGATTAAGTATGTATTTATTCATACAGGTGTATGTAGTAAACACCAGAGTCCAATGTATTAAAATCATACGGCATTAAATAATATGATTGTCTATTTTGTCTACTAGTAAATAATACTTTAATCGGTTTACTGGTTATTGTTCATTTATTTGTACAATTACGTAACTAATGAGCGATGATTTATAGTTGAATAAGTATATGTATATTGTATAATAAACTAAAATGTGTCACCAGGAAAAACTTCGATGATACACAAGCGTATAATGAGATGGTCCTAGGACCGATCCTTGAGGTACACCGAATATTATTGTTTTACCCAATTTCCAATACATATTAATGTTCCAGTTATTTGCTTTGTGATAAAATGTAATCTCAATTGTCTAACGGTCTCTCTCTCCGGTCAAAAATAATGCAAGACACTTTTATGAACCCTTTTGAGATGAGCTAGCGTTAAGTAATTACACGTAGCATAAGATAACAATATGTAATTAAATTATTACGTGATAATTAATTGCCATTAGTGCCAAACAGTTAAGTACGTAGCGTAAATAATAGTGAGCTATGTTGTAACACCAAGTGACAACATGTCAGTTAATTATTTGTCGGTAACTGTACAGATTTCATACCATGACGTCACATTAAGAATATTCTTTTAAATTGACTGTGAAGATATTTGTGTGTAGATAGATGGTAAGAAAGATAAAGAATTTCAGAGAATGACCAATGAAAATATTGACATTGGATGGGATGATGTCTGATCAGAGAGAATGGAAGAAGAAGACAAAGAATGCAACGGTACTCTGTCTCTTGTACTCTTATAGAAAAATTCTCTTTAATATACGAGACGTAATTGACGAAATAGAAGCCCAAATAGAAGACTAAACTATGTGGTGACAGCAACACCTCTATCAAACATCGCTTTCAATTCTACAAAACCTGACAAGATTGTGTACTTATCGGATTTTGAATCAACAATAGACACAATAAGGTGTATATTTGTAAGACGGGTCGTCGCCGCGGTCCTGCATTGTATGTCCTCTATAAATCGCTCTTTGTGGAAGGTACAACGCGTATAACATTACGCCTTTATTTCCCTGAAGGTGTAAGTTTAGATGCGGGATTAAACTTAATGCTTTATAGCAGAAGCTTTACCAAATTTTTTTTTTCTTACTGAGTATATCAAGATAGATAAGTTCGATAATATTTTGCTTGAGTCTTGCACCAAAAAATTCTAAGACAGAATTTCAATAAATGGAAAGTAGAATCGTTCTTTCCCAGGGAATCAAACTCGAGATTCTTCCACAGCTTTTCAATATTCAGTTGATCTTATTCCGGTTATTGCAGATTTGGCTCGAGTGCTTACCTCATAGCGAAATTCTCACAATATCCATACCAAGAATGCAACGATGCCAAACTTAGATCTTTGTTTAGTAACATACTAAGTTTCCGAAGCTACACAAGTTTGCTATCCGGGAGAGAGTTATATAGCATTTGTAATCTCTCCAGCTTGGAGTACTAAGTTCATTATTTAATATCTTTATCTTTATATATTTTATTTCCTCTAACAAGTCGCTATTATGAGTTCCACCCATGTAATAGAGGTTGAATTAAAAGTCTTACAACCATAATTCCTTCAAGTAATATAGGGCTGGCGTAAAATATCGTCTTCCATTTCCACCTACAACCTCTTTCTCTTTCAAATCGCCCCTCAAGTCCGCACACAATCCATCCGTATGATAAACTAATATAATCAAAAACATTTAGGTCTACATAACAACATTTTTATACGTATTAGGTTCTAGACAAATCCTAATGGAATACGCGGTAGAATAATAGGAAAGATCTTGTTTGGCGAGAGTATTTTCGCCTGACTAGAGCCAAGCACCCACGCCGTGTATAGATTAAAATATCTCACATATGCATTTTTCTCAGTAGCTACCATTCAAGCAGCGATACTTTCACACGGTAGACGATCCTATATAATGTAGATAAGTATCATAACACCAGGTTAAACAAAATAGACTGTTGTTGCTGAAATTGCTGATGTTTTTGGTTCTAAGGAAAGCGTTCGATAGCATTAGTAAGGTACTCGTATATCACCAAAAAGTTCAATAAAATTGGTACAGTAACATTAATATGTAACAAAAAAGTAACTTATAAGTTGATAGCATCACTATTTATAGAATTAATATGGGTAATGTATGCTTTTATAAAAAGAACTTTAATATGGTAATGGTGCAAAGACCTTATCGTTGCCAGTTATATCTACCAGACAACCTTCGCATCAGAAGTCAAATAATAAATATTACAACATTTTTCTAGTAGGTATATTCACAGATATTTTAAGAATGATAGACACTTATTTATTTAAACTACAAAATTGCTTAATGTGCTGCATTGTGAAGGGAGAACCTCTCAATATGGCGGCATTATCCCGTCCCCTTTTCCCGCCATTTTATCGCTAAATAAGTTTCAGTTATGAATGTTATGATCGACTTCATCTTGTTAGTGGATCACATTAGCGGTTGTAAACTGGTAGCGGGTAATGGGAAATATGAAATTGACCAATCATGTGTAGGCATTACGTGCGTGCCAGTAATTGAAGATATTCTGCACTCACGCTCTTAGGCGAGGTGGCCTCAAAACAACCTGAACCATCCTTATTTATTGAATGTTCGTAATCCAATTTCAATATGAAATGCATAATTTTTTCCCACAGTGCGTTAAGAATCATTTGAGAAATCGAATCGTGAATTCGTTCTGAATTCTTTGATTAATGCACTCCATTAAGCAGCTTAAAACTTTCCACTAATGTATTTAGAAACTGTACAAGTGTACAGTACTAGATAGACACATTAAATAAATGATGATTCAGTGAGTAAAGAAACCCATTATAATATTAGTCACTTTTGTTATGGCTCAGCTATAAGCTTCCATTAGGCTACAATAGTCAACAGATTAAGTTTACGATATCCGTCCAAATTATGTCCATACTTATACAAAGAAGTCCCCTACACGTGTTGCACATAATATAAACACTATAAAACTCATTCTATAAGTTTGTGATAGAAAAAAAGGTGAGGTAGCTATCTATTTAGAGGGGACTATATGGATCAGTGCGCAATCTAGGCGTCGTAACTTGGACTCCTTTGTCCTGATCGCAATCTCCATAAACCAGCTAAACACCTAGCCGAGATTCCCCTCACGAGTCCCGAGGGTGGCGGGGGAACCCATCCCCCTTCTTTTAGTTATACTGGAGTTAAAGTGCCTTATGATTTCGAGACTTTCCGCACTGAGGTGATGTCGGTCTTTTATTAATCCATAAAAATCTCGGGAAGCCGTAAACGTTGACACCAAACAATAATTACTTAGTGCCCCGAGATTGATGTTTGGACGAAACAGAATAAGCTGTTGAGATAAAGTAAACAACCTTTATATTATGCTCAAACAATTATCTTTCTGGGATTGTTTTTATACCGATACTTGTTTACATTTAGTTTACTTCGTGTAGAATAAATAAATAGCTATTCTTTACTAATATTTGTGTGTAGTTTGTTTATCTGTACTAATGAATGTATTCCTTTGTTCTCAGGTCTACCATCACGGCGAGAGAGCGAGTTCAAGAAGCCATCTCACGCCCCCCAGAACGGCGTCCGCCATCACCGCCCCCATATCCCACACAGCAAGGTAAACACTTTATAACTATGAAATACATGCACTTTAAAGTCACAGCCACCCTGCAATATGCTAATGCGGCGACAGAATTTTTATAAAATGATCCTTATGAACTAAAATCTGTTTACTCAGTGCAAATTGTATTAGCTATGCTGATAAAAAATAAGCAGCGCGTGTAAGTATCGATCGAGAACATGATTATTGTGCTCGTAGCCGTATAAATGCAGGTTCATCACATTTGTTCCAACAAAAACCCTCTTTAGCCTTTCTCATCCGTGTCCTTATGAAGAACAAAAATAGGAACTAGAACGCTGCTCTAAGGTTATGATAAATAATAAGCGACACGTGTCTCGCGTTCAAACGCGCGACATACCAACTCGTTACTGCGATCCTTGCGAGAATCGAGAAAAATTTCGTTACAAATACTTATCGGTACACAATGGTGTTTATTGTCACGCTGTACGCTTTACAAAGCAATATCATCCAGGAAAATGTTGTGTTATCATGAAACTTTTTAAATTCCCCACCAAGCTCCGTCGCTTCGGGCTCCACCATCTTTTGTGCTGGATCGCTTTGCTACCCTGAAATATGCTTAACGACAATACAACTTTTCCTGATTTAACTCTTTTACTTGTTTTATTGTTGCCATGCTTTATCTTAGCATTTGTTTACATTTAACAGGATCGCGAACTTGTTGGATAGAAGTCGCATTGATAATTATGGCCGTAGTGCTGATTAAGGGGGTCTTACGAGCCGTGACCAGCCTTTTCACGTCTCATTTGAAACTTCTCATGCCGTTACACAGCCACATCTTGGACTAGTTAATTCTTAGCTGAATTATTCATCAAGCGTACATTGTAATTAAGTTTAATGTGGTTAACTCCAAAACGGCGCCACTAACTTCGATCACTCGGGAAACTTGCTACATGTATGATGATGAATGGCAGAATAGATTTGATATTCACAGAACTTTGCGAATTATAAACATCAAACGGTACATTTGTGTATACTGTGTGTACTGTATTTTTCTAACAATGTTAACGTCCAAACGACATTAAAAGCTACGTGTGTACTTCTGAGAAAGTAAAACCGAGCGCAATGTTTCCGTATAACGAGCTCAGATTTTTCTCGCAAAAAGAAACAATCCAATTCAGCGACGTCGTTTAAGAAATCCCAAAACGTAATTCTATTAAGAGGAGAGGTGAATAGAATATTAATGTGCATTTTTTGGTGCAGAGCGATGGTTCCGGTTCGACGGGAGCCCCACACAGGCCGCCCCCCATAAGGATACCCAACGGTATCCAGTCACAGGTCAGTTTGATAACAGTGCCTTGTTTACATGGAAAATTCATTCATCGCATTCATTTCACTATTATCTAACACCTCAATCAGGCTGTCAGCGAATTCCTTCGAATTCCTTTGTAAAACTCAGGGCTACAAAACTGTTATTGGGTTTATCGATTTTTTTTAAGTTTAGCTCTGATTTCTTTGTCTTTAAGTTGATAACTTTATTGACTAAAGCGTAAAGGTATAGCCTCGTCGACATTATCGTGATTAAACATCCATTTTGTATAAATTATCGAAAGGTTACGAACAATCAAAGTTTCGACATCAGTAGGGCCTAAAGTATTAACATTCGTGACCGTTGTCTCATTGGACAAAACTGTCAATTAGACCAAAAATCGTGAACATGCTTGTTACTAAAGCCTAGTTAATATAGTGCAGTCGAGTTTAAAGACATATCACACTGTTGTAGAACGGACCACATGTTCACAAAATGGTTGTAGTACTAGAGACAACCGTTGCGTGCCCACTCATTCCCCAGACGAGCATTATTAATGACACTGTCAATTATTAAGTTATCGTCAACTACATAGTTATCCGGTTTTTTCCCTCTCATTATTTATTTCTGATTTTAAGTATGCAGTTCTTTAGCGATTGTAGGGGAGGCTTTAATGAAGGTGTTCTTTAAACGAGTTAGCTGTTTAGTGGAGTGGTATCTCTGGTATACATGTGGCAGTCCGATTACTTTAGTTTTTCTTTCTTGTTCCCTTTAAATAATGAGACTGAGTCATAATTCATTATTTAAGCAGATTTAGTAGCAATCGTAACGATTACATTCTTCATTCGATTGACCATAGCAAATGAAAGTTAATGATAAAACCATGTAATAACACAGCAATGATTAATCACGACCTCATCCATAATTTCCTATACTATCTGTTCTGGAATGTACACATCATGCGCGATGACTTCGATACATATTTAATGATTATCATCACGTACCCGAAAGTCAACAAAGGCGCCCTCTGCCCTACAAAGTTCACGTTTTGAACTGTCACTCCCCACTCAGAATCGTAGGTGTTATTGCTGATATATATAGGTCAACAAGTGGGCGTCGGTTGTGCCAAATGTAAGCCTTTACAACTATTTCATTGGTATTTATGGGGCGTTCGTAGCATGAAAACAATTGTTTTTGTGTAAACTGAGCTGTGGGTACTAAATAGGGGGTTGTTGTATGATGTGTATTACACCCGAATACTGAAAGGCTACTCCATTTTAAGTCGGGCTTGGGTATAGTTCTGTCACTACAAATTCTTTGTAAAATGACAGAGATGGCACGATATTTAAATACAACTTATAATTGAGTAGTCTTTCAGTATTCGAGCGTTAGTGATTCAATTGAAGTATGTTTGAGATTGTGACTTTAGGGAAAGTCCTTCATGATCCAAACTATAAACGTCCTTTGTCTGATGGCCATGAGTTTGTGTGCTTCCCATTTCTCTCTCTCATTTAATCACTCACGCATACTCACTAATTTGCCCATTATTATACTACCGTTATTTTATTGTTGAAGACATAAAATTTCTTGTTACAATGTAATAAGAGACCGTCTTAGTACAAAAGCTTCAGTTCCTTTCCCTTTGTCGTTGATACCGCTATTCTTCTCAGAAGACAATTATCTTCTGTCGTGTACTGAAAATGTTTAACCTTTATTCCACAACATTCACCCTCGTTACCTAGTTGTTCAGAAACGATTGACACTATCCAATAAATGTCTGCGTCTCCTTCCAAATGATTGGCCGCTATCTTATAAAAGGACGGGCGACGAAATGTATTCGTCGAATTGAATATTTAGGGACCCCGGCAGATTCCTTCAACGGCAACAATACAATACATTTATTGCCGTAAACTCGTAAATCATACAAGCAAAGTCGGCCGTAAACGGGCCCTAAATTTAATCGCCCCGCTTCGCTAAGGAGGCATAATGTAATCTCGTAAAAGTAGTTTTATTCTGGCGAGAGCAAATTTGTCCAATCTTTTATGTGAGCAACGCGCTTTATCTCGTTACTTGCATGTATCTGTGTTGACTGGCCTGCCCTGTCCTGTCCTGTTTTTCGGCCACTATAAATTATAAAGCGCGCATATGATTCATCTGTGACGTCACAATATTTTATCCACGTGTTACGATGCCCCGGTGACTGCGTATAGTTTGGACGCTCGTTTAATCCTGACAACAATATTATTTTATTTTTCATTTTTATATGAATCTGCAATCCAATATTTTACCTTTTAAAATTCTATCCACAAGTTAAGCATTTTACAGTGAAATGAATAGGTTCAGCCATGAATAGCTTTTATTGGAAAACATCAAAACATATAAAAATTTATTGTTTTTTTTTTACAGAATGCGATCGACAGCAGTCAACCGCCAATAGAAAGTATTTTAAAGGTACGTATGATTCACTGGCGAGTGCATTGTCTCGTTATTTCAAGCATGTAAACTCACGGTACATTGTTTGTTATTGTAGGAGATGAAGTCTCTGCCGACGCCGTTGTCTGTGATAGCTGCGACGCCAAGAAAGGAATTGGAGAACAAATTCATCTTCAACCCCTACACTAATAAGGTAAGATTTAGATATCATCTACCTTTTGTAGTCATATAGCAACAACGTCGGTAGCCAGCGGTTGACGTCTGATCTTAGCCTTAGCTGCGAAAACTAGGCCACACGACATCCAGCCTTGACACTGATTCGTTAAAAAATGACATAAGACTTAATTGAACAATCTCACAACAATCGGTCGTTACGTAATCGTAGGAAAGCGTAAAACAACCACGCTTAGTTACGTCGACAAAATTAATTTAAAATGCCAACTTACTTGTGTACAGAATCGCGTAACACTTGGAAAATATGAAAACAATTATAAATGCAAATTTCAAGTTCATGACTACGCTAAAACGTATTTGTACACTTGGTCACAGCACAAGGTCGCGTCTCGACCAATGGCGACGCGCGAAAAATACGTACATAGTCTTACACTGGCGACCATGATTTATGGTGACAAAAGACAATTGATGTTACGTCTTGATATCGTAGGATATATTTCGAGAATATTCCTCACGTTGCTAACTGAATATTATTTACTTTATATGATTCGCAAAACTACTTGGACGATATATGGCTCCGAGGAAAATATGATTGGATGCGTTTCGTAATTTAAACTGTCAAATACCAAGCGGTCACCGGTGACCGCAACCTATTGTTCTATAATTGTGTCTGCAAAACCGGTACTCGACGAGTTAAGCTATTTCTTTACGTGTTACGTAGTTTCTCGGATACGAACTTCTTCAATGATGTTGGTGTTGGAGGGTATACATTTTTTATTTCCAACACGGAATATAAGTGCAACTATAGATCTTTTTTTGCAAAATTCTAGAAGTTTTACCAAAGATAATTTCCGACTACTTATTAGTCACTGCTAGTAAATGCATTAAACAGTACCCAAAACATACTCCTACGTAGGTTACTGATTGTTATACATTAATGATATGCCTAAACATGTTGGACATCCTTTTGTATTATTTGCTGACGATAGTACCGTCACAATTAAATGTGAAAACTTTGACAATTATGAAGCTGACATTAATAATACTCTGACATTAATAATTGAATGGTTGACATATAATAATTTAAAAATTAACATACAAAAAACTAAAATTATACACTTTCGACAAAGAGCACAAATTAAAGACATCGACGTTAATTACCAAGGTGAACCAATTACCTCAACTGATACTACCAAATTTTTAGGTTTGAATATTGACCACAATTTTTCGTGGAAGACCCATTGCGACGAAATTTGCAGGAAAATAAATACCTCTGCCTATGCTCTGAGCAAATTAACAAAAGTAGTCAATCGTGAAGCCGTATTGAATGCTTATCATGGATACGTTGTTTCAAAATTGAGATACGCAATAATATACTGGGGTAACTCTGTTAATAAAGATACTGTGTTTAGAGCACAGAAACAGTGTATTCGAGCAATATGTAGTATAGATTGCACAACAAGCTGTAAACCGTATTTTAAGAGCCTCAAACTAATGACACTTCCATCACTCTATATATATGAAACATTAACTTACGTCAGAACCAACAAAGATTTATACACAGTTGCTTTCAAAAGTGACTATAGGAAATTACGGGATAAAAACAGATTAAAACTCGAGGTTCGTTATGGCAAAACAGCCCTCATGAATAAAAGTTTTCTTTGCATGGCACAACTGTTATATAATAAGCTACCAGACAATGTAAAATCACTCAATTTAAATCAATTTAAAAGGACTGTACGGAAAATTCTCATTGACAAATGTTATTATTCAACAACAGACTTTCTAATTGATAAATTTTAACATTACGTATTTCTTGACATTATTTTAATATTATGTATTTCTTGACATTGTTATTATTGTTTGTATTGAATTTGTAAACCTTAATTATTGCTTGCTATTATATTAAATCTGACAGCTTTTTCACCATATTTTGCATGCCAATAAACGGGCAAAATGTATACGGCTACTATATTATATCTGTAACAACTTATTTGTAAACACCTACATTTTATGCAAATAAATGATTTGATTTGATTTGATTTGTTAGCATTGCCAAAATGTATGTCTAATCCTCACTACGACGATAAAAAACATTAATTTAATTCAGAGAGAACGGTCATAACTTAAGCCCACATACCCTTTCAAGCCGAAATAACTCATACTCCATAGTAAATAGGATTAAAAGTGCAACGAGTGCTCTGTGTGAAATGTTATTAATTGACATAATTTCGGAAGTATCAGTCAATAAAGTGTTCTTACGCTATTTTAATAAGGTTTCAATTATAAAAAACTGTGAGTTTCGTAAGACACCAACATTTTGCTTCGTTTATGGACCTGTAGCGCCATCTATCGTCAACGAGTTGAACTAAGTTTGTTTTGTATAGAGCTCCAGGAAATTCTCATTTAAAATATACTTAGATTGGGTAGTGAGGCTTAAACTGATAAGTGATGATAGTTCAATTAAACATCGAAACCAAATAAAAACATCGTGAAAAATGTTTTCCTAATTAATCGCATAACAATCATCTCCATAATTATGGAGATTTATTTCGTATTTCGTTCTGCCGGTGGTCTCCACAATTTATTTACATAAACACTTTTACAGGTCCAAGAGAACCCTCAGTTGGCCGCCAACGATCTCAAAGCACCCCTACCCAAACCCGGTAAGTGTGAATACATTTTTTTAAATTAGGGTTGTCACATCTTGCCACTCGTAAAACATATTTTTACGGAACAGCCACATCTACCAGGAAGGAATTTTTGTAATACTATAATTGTGCATATATATTTTCGGGTCAGGCAACCCCAAAACAGAATGTTATTTACCAAATAGAGATGCCCTCTGCGGTCACTTATCAGAATTATCGGTTATACAAGTCGAAACAACCCGACCGTTGCGCATTTCCCCGTTTTGCCTTTAAATTACATGCATATTTAATTCATTGCCTCTCTTCCGGCATTCGGGCCGTACTTGTCTATTTTTCTTTTTACCGAACTGTGTACGTGACGTCGAAGTTAAAACCTTTTCAGTTAATGGACATTTTCTTTCATAAATATTTACATGCATTATTCAGTGAATGCTCTCCGATGTTCTTATTATTCTCAATCGATTACTGATATGGAATGCTATGATAAACAAACGCGATATATGCATTAACCGAGACATCAAACGAACGGATATCCTGCCGAGAAATACTTATTAGATATTAATGAAACTTTTATAATAATGGATGATTAAGCCAACAAGATATGGAAGAGCCAGTAATCGATGCGATACGTCGCGCGTCGCCTACAAGTGGCATAGCTTAACGTATAAACGATTGTAGCTACAAAAAGGCTGTAGTGCCGATAAAGTGGTGCGTGTGAAGGCACGACGTGAAGTGGTTTATAGTGACGATAACCCCCACAGACTTGTTCCACGTCCGCCCACCGCTATGCCTAAAATGTCGTTCCTCAAACGCGCGATAAAAACCCTATTTTATCCTAGCAGCCCGCTAATTGGCTCATAACTCCACCGACTCACTCAACGACCAATGAAAAACCACTCGGAAAAAGTAAATTCAAACCACTCCGGTATTTGTTTTGTAAATATTAACTCGTAAGAAAATATACGGTTCGTGGTAGTCGGTCCATATTATGAATAATGTTGCGTTTTAAACTCAAACATGGCACGTCGATTGTATTAATGGAGCAACTAAGTGTGATAATGTTAAGTGATGTGCAATTGGTTGTCCGTTGATACGTATAAATAGATATGTACAATTTCCAGCTAAAACAATAACGCCGTTCATCGTACAGCTTGCGCGGGCTTTAAGGTTGACTGCGCCTAAATAAAATGTGGAATGAAATATTAAGAGCCAGTTTACACGTATCGCGGGCACAGATCGCCGGCAGCGCCACCTGTCGTCGACGTGAATAAATAAATTGGGAAAAAAGCACAAAACGCAACCGTGCACACTGCACACATTGACGCGACCGCGCACACATACCCGAGAACATAAAACAAGACTGCAAGCGAAAATATTTGCGCTTGCTAACTGAATAATAATGAATATGACCGAACCGGACGTAACCGGAATCGCATCAGAGTAATTTCCACTGCTTTGTGTAACCCCGTACGATTATACTAGTTATTAATTAATATTTTATGGGTTCTCTGCAAAACTAGTGGCTTAATAATTACAGGTTTATGACAATAATCGTGGCTTCAGTTCATTACCATGCTTTATTCAATGTTTAGTGTTGCGCCAACGTAAATGTTTTAGAAAGTGCTTTATTGCCTATACAAAATTTAATTATTGCGTTAATTATGCTATAATAGTTTTTGCATGATGAATTTGTAGGCACGCAATAAACGTTTGTCTTTCTTGAAGAGGATTTTAGTGTTCGAGATAAGGAACAAGGCAAGGCTTGTCGACATCGAATAAACGTGAGGTTTGCTCGTAATGTCATTTTTATTGTCGGCATTCCGAATATAATGGCTTCAAGTTGAGGTCTCGTTAAATCGTGCATACGTACACTAAGTACGTATGCATCACCTGCCTGCCGTAGGAGCTTGGGATCGCATAAAACTATGAAAAAGTAAAATAAAAATGGCGATGTGCAGATTAAAATCGTAGTTTGTAGTAGCTGGGAACGCAACGCGATAACGGACGGGCAGAGTAACTGAGTAACTGCTTACGTTTTTAAATATAAGTGCGATAAGTGTTAAGTACCGCATTCTGATAATTAATTATCATTATTTGTAGTTAAATTGACTGCTTCAGCTTACTTGAGTGAGTAATGGATAACGCAACAGCCCATGCATGTACTCGAATTTCAATAAAATGCATACATTTTATCCAATTCCCATTGACTCCGACAGCGTTTAGATACGCTAAATGTTCCAGTCCAGACTCTCTATACATTCGTTTATTGATAGTTGGATCGTTTAGATCGGTTCGACGGGAATCACCGTGCCTGCCAGTGACACAAGCATAGAGTCAGTTCGAGGATTAGATTTCCCCTTTTTTATCCAATGAAAACTGACAAAACCTTCCTTTTCTGTCTGCAAATTGAATCGTTTCAAAGTGGAGTTTTTTATCATCAGAAACTAGGGAGTCTTTTGTGAGTTTAGTGTAGTCTAGTCCGTTCGTGGAGTTTTAATGAAATGCTTCGGCTTAACTGAAACTTAGACACTAATATGTTTAGCATAAAGTTGAAATTACTGTTCTCTGTTTGAATTAATATGCTAAAATATTCGTTGTATTTAAAACATAAGGTTTACAATAACTCATTAGGCGGACAATACCTTTCATGTTAATTATACTATCGCTAAATAATAATAATTATTTATGAGATACAAAACGAAATAAACCATATCAATAGCTCGAAAAGGCTTTTGATTGCTTCATTTTATTGGCTGCTTTTAAACAGTTTGTGCTAATAGCTAAATAATGACTTGACTAATACATAGCTACAAAAGCCCACAACAAAACAACTCATATTTGTTTGTTTATATTCATTGCTTAGTAAAACCAAACCTTTACCTTATGGTACACCTTTGATTGGTCCGTTTAAAAGAAAACACGTGACCCACCCTTGTAGGGTTTGCATCCACTAGGTTAATAACTTTGCTCTACACCATAGAGGTTGTATATCACATGGGTGGGGACCCTTTGTTCGTATTTCAATCTCCACGGGAGCTTTCCGCCAATTTCCCCTATATCCTCGACACATCTGGGTACCGATAGTATTATTATCTTCTGTTTCTTTTTGTTTTTTGAATAATTTCTTCTCATTGTTTGTACTTATTTTAATATTATTTTAGTCATTTATGGTATTATTGTGGTTAGAACAGTTGGTCAGTAATTAACATGGGCATGAGAGCAGGTTCACCTCTTTGTGTGAAATTTATAACTGCTGAAAAGTTGGTACCTATTACATTGTATGTGCTTTTCTGCCTACCCTTTTGGAGGTTAAAAGAAGCGACGTTATGTTTATGTCTAAGCATAAGGTTCTTGACTTATTATTAAGAAGCTCAATCGCTCAACTTAGTCATTTGTTGTAAGAGGCAGCCTGTTTCTTGCAATGGACAGAAACACGCTAATATTGATCAATATGATTATTAATTTACAATCACATAAATATACATGTTTCATTTTAAGACAGAATCAATGAACTTTAGCTATTTTTATAAAATATCAAAAGTGCTATTATTATTAAACATCAAAAGTGCTATTATTATTAAACATCAAAAGTGGTATTATTATTAAACATAAAAAGTCTAGCGACTGCGTTATTTCTAAACATGATGTAAGTACTTTAAATAAAAAGAGAATCTCTTTTTGATATAATTCTCAGTAGTTACACGGATTCCGGGAAACGTCTCGGCCCGTAGTAGGTAATTTATTCTGTACTAATTAAATTGAAAATATATTAATAAAACCGACGAAAGTGGGTGTAATGTAAGTACTTAATATTTTAAATTACCTTTGCATACTTTTCATTTAAAGAGGCATATTTTCCATCTAAACAAAACTACGCTTGTGGAGGTGGAAGAGGCTATATTCATATAAAACAGGGGTTCTTAAACCTTCAACAAAGGAAGCTTCTCATGTCTGTATGTTTGTCCGCGATTACCTCGCGATTGGTTGAATCAATTTTGATGCGGTTGTCAGAAATATGTTTGTAGCACGTAGAAGCAGATTCTAGTTAACATATTAACCGCCTTGATAAAGGAGCCACCACCAATAAATTCAAATTCAAATTCAAATTCTTTATTGCGTAATAATCAGTTTATTACTAAGAACTACACTATTACTCTGTCAGAATCGAGCCCAATTCTCTTTTTCTACAGTCGTGTATGCTCTCGTTTAACGATACAATATTTCAGTCATAAAATAAGCATTAATTGATAAGTCATAATAAGGTCCGATGTTAATATTGTAATTAACTACCCATGCACCAATTAACTCGCCGTTTATCCATTCTTCCTCGTTTAATAACTGATGCTAATGAATTTAAACTGAATCTCGTGTAATTAAGGTACAAAATACAAGCAGACATGTCCGTCAGCCGACCCCAGCATTTTGTTCTGTAGATATAGGTCGATTAATATCACGCTTTTTTTCTCAAAGGTATAGACAGAGACCTATTTCATAATAACATTCTTTAAGTAATCAATAATAATTCTTAATCAGTACTGTTTTAATTAAGCACCTCTTGCCACGATTTTACTTTATGGAAACAGCTGTTGAGGGACTAACCATTTGACGAAGTCCGTGCAACAGTGATCTATTATAAACTCAAACATATAAAGTTACGATATCATATCCTGCTAAACAAGCCTGGAGAATGATCTCCAGATCATGGCCTGTCCATTTGTTTAGAGGAGACCCACAGTTCAGCAAAGGACTATCACGAACTGTTAAAGGTAGAATCATACTTTGAAACTTTAAGAACCTGATAGATAAACTCTCAAACAAGTTTATAGGTACCTACCTAACATCACACTAGGCCACTTAAAGAAAAACCCTACAGTGGTACAACCAAGACAAAACTTCTTACATAAAATGCTGAATAAATCTTTCACAGTATATGTTTATTTCTTTTCTAACAAACCTTTTGTAAACGTTGAATGAACGGTGAACATGAATTCGATATATAAATAGTGTATTGGTAG